ATTTGTCTTAACCAGACCTCCATAATGCTTTCATGGTGACCTGCAAATAATTGTGTTTTGTTTGGACCCCATGGATGCAGCTTAAATGGTGTACCAGTCCACCCACAGACCTAAACCTCTCTTCTTATCACTACGAGACTACACAGTACTAAAACGTATCCCGGTTTTCTAAATATCATGCATAACATGTGTGACCGTTCCCCAACGTCGCTCCAAGCGTACAAATATTCACACTCGTCACATAATAAAAATTATACATAATTGTAAATAAATACAATAGCATTATGCAACTCGGATCTATAATTATTACATTTTTTTTAGCCATGTTGTGTTCAAAAATTTTCAATCTTTAATATTAAAATACAAAAGATTATGATCATTAATGAATTGTTTTATATATATATATATATAATTATTATATTCTTTATATGCATCATATCTTGGACATATGATGGAATTTTGCCCCAAATCATAACTCATAATGTCCATCATCATCACTTAAAAAAGTGTTTCTAATTAATAATTATTATATCAAAGATTAATGATTTAAATTTAAATAAACTACAATTATTATAACTAATAATTATAAATTTATAATACTTAATTTTGTAAAACTGATAATCTATGAAACTGCAGTGATTAAATTTAATTAAATTTTTGTAACCAATTACATAATTTTTTTTTTTTTTTTAAAAGTAGATTACAATGGAATCCATCATTGATTGATTTAGATAATCAACTATGAACTATTATATATATATATATGTATATATATATATATATATATATATATATATATATATATAAGATTGAAAGGGTTGACAAGGATGATTGGCACAAAGTACCCTTTTTTTTATTAATAACTTTAAATGGTTAATGATTTTACAAGCTTTTAACAAATTTACATGAAGATTCCCTAAAGATAATTGTATGAAATATATATATATATATATAGAGAGAGAGAGAGAGAGAGAGAGAGAAGTTGATATCAATCAATAAATACATATTCATAATATACCATATAGTAGGTTATATGGTATAAAAGTATTAAAAAAAAAACATATTGTTATTTATATATTTTAATTATTTATTACATAAAATAAGTTATATTATTATTAAATAAAATAAATAAATAAAATTAGGGCAAAAATCCTAATTTATTTTTTATAAATATAAAACCTTACATTTATTGAATAAAATTGATAGAAAGTTGCTTTTAGCTTGAAATTTAATTATATATATATTAAAAAAAAATAAAGTTATGAACAAGTGGCATGTGACTTGCCACAGGAACAGTCACAAATCAGATGGTGATGGATATCAAATTTATCTGGGTCCCATTCCCTATATATATATATATATATATATATATATATATATTGGGTTGAAGGGTCCCATTCACTTTGGAGGATGACCTACACATATAGATACTCCATGCCTATATTATCCTAACTTACATATCATACACACAATTTGTTCATTTATTAATTTCACATTTTTATCTTAAAATTTTTTAAATA